GCTTGTAAGAGCTCGAGCTAATATACTTTTAGTTGGGTGATCCAACACCAAATGACGGTTACAGATTGAGGTTAATGGATGGAGATAAGAATGATTATTTGTTGTGCATTATAATATCTCTTGTGTTTCTATTAGAATTATATAATTTTTGTTCCCCCACTTAGCAAATACATATATAACTATTTGTATACGTTAATATAACTATTTGAGTCTCATTACATGGTTAATAATTTTCGGGAGAAGAGCCATAAGTAGCACATGGAAGAGCCTCTGAGACTTAGTTATGTAGATCCACTACCTTTTTTGAGTATTTGATTTATGATTTTAATAATATTATTATATTGTCAATGCTAGGGCTTTTATCTATTAATAGTTATATCAATGTAATGATTGTGGAAATTGAATTAAGTGTCTATTTTAACTACTTGTTTATAATTTGCACTTGTTAGGAGCATAATTTAAATATATATATATATATATATATGTATGTATGTATGTTTTTGGCTTAATTGTATGTGGGAGCTTATAGTTTGTTTGAGATATTGTGTTGCGCAAACTCAAGTCAAATATTAAACACTTCTTTGTTAATTTTATTGATATAAATTATATTAAGTGGCTATAGTTATAGATATATGTGCATGAATAGTAACAAAAGTTGTTTTGTGTTATTTGGAGAGTTTATTAGGTGATTATAAGATTTTGAAATGCATACTAACTATTTCTAATTTTCTATTCCATTTTATTTATTTTGTTTTATTTTTTTTTTAAAATGAGATCATATGGGCCTTTCACACTTATTTTTATTTATTTTTGTTTTTTAAATGTTTGGGAATCCAAAATTTTGGAAATGGCAATTTAATGAGTTTAATTCTATTTACCATGGTAGTATTTATTTAGTTTAATTCTTTCTTTCATGGTAAAACATATTATGTTGTGGTAGTTATTTTAAAAATGTGAAATATTTTATAAAATTATAGTTTATCCCTTTTCTATCATGGTAGTGTTCTAAGTTAAAGAATTATTTAAAAAAATATTCTATTTGTCATTGTAGATACTTTTCTATCATGATTGGAATAATTGTTTGGAAAAATTTTTGAGAGGGTTACAAGAGGTGGAGAGTGATAGAGGAGAGATGGAGTCATGTAGATTGAAAATGTGAGTGAGACTGAGTGTACCGTATGTGAGTTAAGACTTCTTAGAGTTTTAATATTTTAATTTTTTATTTATGCCCCCACCAATCTAACAAATGACATTATATATTGATATTTAGACAAAAAAAAAATAATATTATACGTTAGGGCAAGTTGGGCCAATTGGTTGGATACTCTCGTGTTAAATTTTGCCAACCTAAAGATTGAACTTAGTCAAACCATATCGGGAAAATCATTCTAAGGTCCCGTGGAAGCAATCAAAATACACTAAAGTCCCATGAATTTATCAAATAGCTACCAGATCCCAAGGGACTTAAGGGTGAATAAGTCTGAAAATGAAATTACTAATTTGTCCTCTACCATTAAAAAGGAAATCTTGCTTGAACGTAGATCTCATGAAACCCATGATCAACGAAACTGAAGATTGATGCATATCCATGATTGTTGATCACGGTAGGATAATTTTCACTTCCCCATATCTATAATTATTGTCGTTGTCTTCATCTAAGCGAGGTGGGAGTGTTCATCCACGACTGTAGTATTTCATCGCGCAACAGAAAACAATACAATGATTGTTGAGCGAGTAAACGATTTCTCATGCGTTAATGATTTCATTATTGTTTAAGGGTAGCCTAATATTTTCTGGGTATGCTTACGATCATTTGATTTGCATAGCTAATGGGTATGGATTCATCTGGTGCGACATTAATACATTGAAAAATATCTGATACGAACAACTCTACATGTTGTCAATAGTGTATTCTTGTGTTGTCAATATACTATCGATAGTTGTCGATGCACTGTATTGTGCAGGATGACTTATAAGAATGCTTATACCATCGAAAAACATGTATTATGTTATGTTTTTTTCATATAGGAGACATTTTATATAATATTCTCAAGCATGTGATGCAAGCTTCTTTTATTAAAAAATCTCTATTATGAAATAACATTGCTTCTTGTCAATAGTGGATAAATGCGTTGACATTATGCTGTGTATAGTTGTCAATACACTGTGTGTGGTGTTGGTTGACCTATAAGATGACAAGTTCTTCTGGAGAACATATATTATATTTTTTTCCATATCGGGAACATTTTCAAAATTATGACCAAGGAAATATGCAATATGTTGGGGGGAGTGTTAGAACAAGAATAATAAAGGAACGGATAACGTATGAAGAGTTGACAAGAATGATATCATCAAATGAGTAGCACATACATGCTCTTGTTTAGCATGGCAAATGAGTGGAATACCTTGTGTGCATGCATGTGCAGTAATCAAGCTAGTTTATGGCAATGTGTATAATTTTGTGGATGAATGTTACAAGTTTATCGCTCAACAGAAGATATATGCCAACAACATGAGGCCGATAGTCATACATGACTATCCATGTCCATAAGCATTGACGGTGACAAATTTATTAACCCAAACCTGATTGAAGCTACCAATGACTATAAGGCCTTCGAGTAGGCCAAAGCATAAAGGAAGGGAATCTTAAATCCAAAACAAAAGGGTTTATCATTGTGCAAGATGCCATGAGACTGGTCATACCTCCAAGGCTTGTAAAAATTTTAATCCATGCTAGAAAATATCAAAGACAAGTGTACTTTTTTGTTAATGTATTTGGAATTTATTTTTTTGTTTATTGCACCTAATGTATCAGCACTTGTCAACGAAGAATGCATAGCTTGGCAATTAAGTGATAACTTGTAATCAATGGCCAACGGCAAGTAGTTAGTCAGTTCTTGTAACTAGTTAATTTTTAAAGGGAATTATTGCACTTAATGTATCAGCACTTGTCAATGAAAAATGCAAAGCTTGTCAATATAACGATAACTTGTAGTCAATGGCCAACGGCAAATAGTCAACGGGTTCTTGTAACTGGTTGATTTTTAAAGGGAATAACAGCACTTAATGTATCAGCACTTGTGTGGTCAACGGGTTCTTGTAACTGGTTGATTTTTAAAGGGAATAACAGCACTTAATGTATTAACACTTGTCAATGGCGAATGCATAGCTTGTCAATATAGTGATAACCACTTCTCAATTGCCAACAGCAAATAATCAACTTGTAACTTGTTGATTTTTAAAGGGAATAACAGCACATAAAGTATCAGCACTTGTCAATAGTAAATGCATAGCTTGTCAATATAGTGATAACCACTTGTCAATTGCCAATGGCAAGTAATCAACAGGTTTTTGTAGTTTGTTGATTTTTAAAGGGAATAACAGCACCTAATGTATCAGCAATAGTCAATAGCGAATGCATAGCTTATCAATAAAGTGAAAATCACTTGTCAATCACAGTTGGCCACTTGTCAACATTTAATTAATAAAACAAACTATTTGCCACATTTACAAATTTGTAATTACCATTCATAATAACATTGTTTAAGTTAACTACACGAAATAGGCTAACTATATAAAAGGACATGATTATCAATAAAGTTATATCCTAAAGTTCTATCAATAATCTTCTATTTCCTCTTCTTCCTTTCCTAGGATCTTTCTAACAAGGGCATGGCTTTGTGCTCCTTCATGTTGTTACAATGACTCAATAACCACCACAAGAATTCTATCTTCTTCTTATAGAGGTCATCCTGCACCACAAGTCATCATTATGAGGTATAACAGAGATTTTACAACAAAAGAAGCTTGCATCATATGCTTGAGAATATTATATAAAATGTCCCCTATATGAAAAAAAACATAACATAATACATGTTTTTCGATGGTACAAGCATTCTTACAAGTCATCCTACACAATACAATGCATCGACAACTATCGATAGCATATTGGCAACACAAGAATACACTATTGACAACATGTAGAGTTGTTCGTATCAGATATTTGTCAACGTATCAATGTCGCAACAGATGAATCCATACCCATTAGCTATGCAAATCAAATGATCATAGGCATACCCAGAAAGCATTATGCTACCCTTAAACAAAATAATAAAATCATTAACGCATGAGAAATCGTTTATTCGCTCAACAATCACTATATTGTTTTCTGTCGCACGATGAAATACTACAGTCACGGATGAACACTCCCACCTCGCTTAGATGAAGACAACGACAGTAATCATAGATATGGGGAAGTGAAAATTATCCTACTGTGATCAACAATCATGGATATGCATCAATCTTCAGTCTCGCTGATCATGGGTTTCGTGAGATCTGCGTTCAAGCAAGATTTCCTTTTTAATGGTAGAGGATAAATTAGTAATTTTATTTTCAGACTTACTCACCCTTAAGTTTCTTGGGATCTGGTAGCTATTTGATGAATTCATGGGACTTTAGTGTATTTTGATTGCGTCTACGGGACTTTAGAATGATTTTCCCAACCATATCCAAATAGTGTCAGGCAAGATTTTTAGGGTTTGGATCATGAATTTTTATTTTTTTTATTTTCTCAGGCCGAGTCATGCATCTTGAGCTCCTGAACATCCTGCATGGCACTAGATCCAACACAGTAAGTATCATCACACATTTAGCAATCTTTGTGTGAGATTAGAGAGGATTGAATACTCTAGATATCCTCCCAAGTATACTATTTTTCATCTGACTTTGGGAAAAGATACAAGGGGATTTGACGTAACATCTCGACTTTTGAGGTGGATTTTATGCTCCACCTGTATCAGGATCGATAATAATGATTTATGGATCTTTTATCACTTATATATCCGTTTTCTAACTTAGATTTAATCTAATATAAGACTTCACATCATCTTCAATATCCATATTTGACTTCTCCCGCCTCCATGAAATACCTGTACATGAGCTCATTACGCCTAATAGCTTGCATAAAAAGCATATATAAGAATATGGATGCATAAGCTCTGTAAGCGAAATTAATTTATTTCAAATGACATTACAGGGTACATTCAAATGTACAAGAGATAAAGGGGGAAAACTACTAAAAGTCTAAGAGTACAATGATCAAATGAATTATGAGCCAACCATGAAGCTATATATATAATGTATCCTGGATTACACATGCATCACATAATTTTTCACAAAAAAAACCCCATAATAGCAATAATAATTAAATAAAGGAGGACAATTCTGTCCAGCTAAAAAATTTCAAGGCGTTTGGGTGTTGTTGCCCTCTAGCTTTGCTCTCAGATCTTTTCTCAATATCTTCCCAGATGGAGACTTGGGAATTGCATGAACGAAGTACACTTTGTGCAATCTTTTGTAAAACACTACCTGTTCGGAGTAAATACACATTATTCTATTAAGGGTTATACACAAAATAAAATAAAAACAAAAAATAATTTTGTTCAGAGTAAATACATATTTTATTCTTTTATTTTGAAAAACTGTTTTGCAATATAAATTTTAAAACTACTTTTTAAAATAAAACAAAAAAATCATATGTTTGATTAGTGTTAATTTAAAAATTTAAAAACTGTTTTAAAATTAAAAAATTGACTAAAATGATAGCCACCTGCAATTAATAATACTGACTTATAATAATGATTAGTTAAAATTTATGTTTCTATTTTTTATTTTTAAAAACAAAAACTAAGAACAGTTTTAGAAATAATTAAATTCAAAATACTTATCCAAATGAATTTTTTAATTTTGTTGTTTAAAAAAAACAAAAAACTGTTTTTGAGCATAGAAACCAAGCATGCTTTAAAACTTAATTAACTCTATAAAACTATAAGAACTAGAATTTAAAACATTCAAATGCTAAAACTAAGTAAATAAATCAAACCCAAAATAAAAGGGCATGAATTATGAAGACCAAATAATTAAATGATCTCAGGGAACATACCCGTTTAGCTATGAATTCCTTTACAGCCTCTTCAGTAAGGTCAAAGCCATTTGACCTTACAATAAAAGCAACTGGAACTTCACCGGCAACCTCATCCTTTTGCCTGTTCAAGCGTTTAATTGATAATAATAAATTATATTTAACAATATTATTTTTCACATCAAGAACGGAGCAATGAATTTATTAATTTATTCTTTTTTATTCAAAGTGTTGATATTTAAGTAAATAATTAATCACACCATCTATATTAATTAATCAAGTTTTCACCAAAAGATATATATACTTACGGCACGACAGCTGCGTCTGCAATGGAAGGGTGACTTACAAGAAGGCCTTCAAGTTCAGCTGGTGGCACCTGAATGAACAGAGAATCATAACATTAAGAAGGATTCTTCTTTGTCAATATCTTTTTTTTTTAGCCAAACATATCAGCGTGAAACTTATTTAATATTAAAAATAATGATAAGTGGTCTCAACTTAAAATGTTACCCGACTTCGAATTTTAAGATCCTTTAATATTGCCATGCATTGTTTTGATGGAATTTTTCCCAATTTTTTTATTATAAATTAAATTTAAATATCTAAGAATCGACGAATATATATATATATATATATTGCCATCCCTAACTTATTAATGGCATTGGCATGCGTACTGTAGGGAGGTCAAGTGGTAAGCACGTGTTTCTTTTTTTTTTTTTTTGGAAACAAAAGCAGCTTTTTGTTTTGTTGTTAAATAAGTAGGATAGGGAAGATGAGAAAATAATAGATTATAGATATAGAAGTTGAACCCTAAAAGACAAATGAGAAAAAAAACAAAAATAAAAATTATATAGATTATAAAAATCCAAGTCAATAAACCAAATGAACCGATAAATTATTAAATTAATATTTTGATCAATTTAATAAAAGTTTTCATCTATAACGAGTTTCTTGATTACGTTTTTTTTATCATTAATCATTAAATTAATGATTTAATCAATTCAGTTTGCGTTTTCAAAAGCCTTCAAAGAAGAGGGATTACCTGGAAGCCTTTGAACTTGATGAGCTCCTTAACTCTGTCGACAATGAAGATCTCGTCGTCTTCGTCTACATACCCAATATCCCCTGTGTGAAGCCATCCCTCTGCATCTATTGTTGCAGCTGTCGCCTTCTCATCATTCAGATATCCTATATATTTATACATATAACATAAACAAATTAGATGAACAATTAATTTGGATTCTCTTTTTTTATATATTGACTGACCGATCTAAGGGATAACCATGCAACAGTACTTTTTTTCCATCAATAAGATTCCAATTTCCAATCTTATTTAAAACTTCTACCTCCTACTTTAGATTATAAGAATCAGATCATATCAGTTAGTTCCATCGGAAAGCCAATGAAACTGATGTTTTGGTTCGGTGGAAACTATAATAAAAACCTGCTGTTTAACAAGGGCTCCACTAATAATCAAAGAATTATGCTTGCTTAATCAGTGATGTAGAATTCAAGTTTCAAGTAACTGTGCAACTATGCTAATTACTTATTGGAAAAGTTTGCCGCTCTAATGGTCATTTCTCGGTTGATATGAATTAGTCAATTGAATTTCAGTCTAAATTTTGAGATTAAAAAAACAGAAAAAAATATGTTATAAGTATAACTCTCAAGAGAAAGCCCATCTCAAAGGAACTAATTTATTGAACTATGAGTATATTTACTTTACTCATATGACTCGCCAAAATATGACTCATGACAATACTATTTTATTTGAGAGTTGATGTTTTGAAAGGTCCATTCCATAGCTACACTTCATTCAATCTTTTGCTGTTTAAAACCCGTCGCAAGTAGTCTTTTCCTTGACATTGGCCTTCTAATAAGAGTATTAATGTTATGAGCATAAAGTCCCAAAAATAAAGCCATTCCAAAAAACTACTCTATTAAATAAGAGAGCTACTCACATTTTATAAACCCTGCCTTATTTTTTAGGCTCTTCATATGGGAGTGAAGGTGGATCTGGATTTAAGATAGGGATGGAAGGGTAACATACCTTTCATGATTTGGTAGCCTCGAATGCAAATCTCACCAGGCTGGTTATAGCCAAGAGAGCGACCAGATTCAGGATCAACCACTTTGAGCTCCGCATTTCTGACGACTGTGCCACACGACCCCGACTTTGTTGTGAATGCCTCTTTTGCAAAGCCGAGGCACATTGACAACACAGGCCCTGCCTCTGTCATTCCGTACCCCTGTTTATTTAGCTGCCCAATTTCAGTATTTACGTTTTCATTTATTTTTTTAACCAACGAAATTAATTAAACAGGATTTAATTCTTCACAAGATGAAATGCGAATTATGATTTTAGAAAACACAATTTATCTTACCAAAATAAAAAAAACTAATTTTGGAGAAATAAATATTCACGTGTTATATTTAAAATCAAAACAAGCGTATCAACTAATTAATGAGATAGAGCATTTCATAATTCTTTTTATCTCATTCTAAGAACGCCCTCCCTAGTTCTCCCTCAGTTAATAATGGCATCTTTCAGCAAGAGTTTTTAATCTTTAATATAAGTTATTTGATAAAGCATTAATTATATTTTTAATATTATTTGTATTTAAATTCATTAACCATAGGAGAGAAAATGTGATGTACATTTTAAAGAAAATTAAATAAGAATAAAATTAAAAATTTATTCTGTTTTAAAAGAAAGTTAATAACTTAACTCTTTTGGTGAGGCACTTGGATGTGATGATAAATTAAGACACTAGAACCCACACCAAGTTTCCCATGGACTACTTTTCTCAAGTTTTTTTAGGCGAAAACCACTGTTTTTAAGTTGGCCTATTAAGTTTTGTAAGGTTAGTCTGAGTAATAAGTAACTCAGTTTCACTCAAGTAAGGTCACAAGTTTGAGCTTTATGTATGCGAAAAACTTCCTTTGGGGGGCTTAACCATCATAGTTAGGTGTGCGACGCGAGTCAAATTTAGATTAGTCAGGGTGAAACTCTAGATACTAAGTGGACAACCAAAAAAAAAAAAACACTTCTTTTATCATGTATATTCAAAAACAACAAAACAAAATTTCAACTTCCGTTATCAGGATTTTTTTTTTTAAAGTATCTATCATCTGAATAGGAAGTCAACTCTACTATCAATCGACAACAATTCAATAGGTTGGTCTAGTTTCTTGATTTTCTTCAAATTACAAAGTCAAACAAATTGTATGTAGTACTTTACAACCAAAATAAATAATAAAAGCATTTCCATATTGTTCTAAAAATTAATTAATAGGTATTATATGTATTGACAAATTTAATGTTTATATGATTTTCTTAAAATTAAAAGTATTTTCTATCAATAATAAATCAAAGACGACTAATTTTCTTTCAGTTATTAAAAACAAAAGATAAACACTGTCTCAACTAGGCTTGTTTCATATACCAATATTAAGAATTGAATTTTTATCTAGTTACTTAACAAGGTGAAAAAATCCTTTGGCTAAATTGAGCTGGTGTTTCTAAGAATTTATATCGGAAAAACTTTGCCTTGCTTGACAAATTACGTCGACTTCTCTAATCTTAGTTGGCATCACGCTTAGTCCACGTACTTTACCGACCAAACTAAAGAAAGTTGGAGTATACGTGACCAAAATAATAATAATAATAATAATAATAATAATAATAATAATAAAAAAGAAAGAAAGAAAGATGGAGTATGAATTGAGAAAAGCTACACATCACTATCGTTCTCATCATATATACTACTATTTCTTTAATTTTTTATTTTTCAAGAAACATTAAACTTATCTACCCTTTCATTTTATTTTTCTACAATATGAATATGATTTAATTTGTTGATTTAGTCTTTGAGTACGATAGAAAGAAGGTGAAAAAGTTGACTATATATCTTGGTGTCAATTCTTTCCTATTATTTTGGCCCCAAAAAAAAAAAAATCCTTCCTACCAAACCAAAGCATGACAAAGTCAACAAACGAAAAACGTTAGTTAAAAATGACAAAAAGTTCCTCCTTGTTATCCTAGGCATGCATTTTACCTGAAAATTAGAAATCTTCAAAAATTTCAAAGATAATTGAAAATTATATACTTTTGGCCAAACATGATTGAAAGAAAAAAATAATAAAAATTGATATTTTAAGGAAATATAAGAAATATTAATAATATATTTAAAATTGAATTTTTTTTTTTGCATTATTAAAGTTAGTACTTGCATTTTTAAATTACTATTTTTAAGGTTTTAATCTCCTAACACTAATTACGTATACACTTTACCTCACTCTGCTTGTCACCAATGTCTAATGTCACGTAGCTGAAATTACTATTTACATATTAATTTAAAACATTCTCTAACATTTAAATAGATGAAACTATCATTTTAAAAAATAATAGTAATTTAAAGATACCAATATGCAATGTTATTAAAACCGAACTGGACTGGATGGTCCGACCGCCATTCGTTGAACAAAACGGTCTGGTTCAACTAATTGAACCAATTTGATATTTGATCCGGGTTGATTCGGATTGAACCGGCCGGTTTTGAGAGAACCGACTTTGACTCGAAAACTAAACCCAGGTCAACTCGGGTCAAAGCCAAAAAAATTTAAAAAAAATTAGGCTGAATTACTTAAATTCACAATTTCTCTTCTCTAATCACTAATTTTCTCTTTTCTTCTCTTCTCTAATATCTAATATCTCTTTCATGGCCCAAACTCAATTTTTAACTTCTCCTCTAACATCCGCCTCCAGCTCTAAAGATCTAACCTTTAGCATCAAGATTGAAAGCTTGTGAGTCATGACATGAAAGCATGCCTCTAGCTCCAACATTTTCCTTTAAGATCACAAGCTTGTATTGATATGCCTCTACCTCTAGCTTCAATGATCAAAGCATTTAGCTTTTGGGGTCAAAATTCCAAACACCATTAACAAATAATATTTTATTTATATAATTGCGCATATAAATTTTAATTTTTATATTATTAGTTCGACCGCCGGTCTCATCGGTTAAACCATAAAAACTGTGACTCATTGTTCTGTCCGGTTTAATATTCGGCCCAGCTTTCAAAATATTGCCAATATGTACTGCATGTGGGCAGTTAAGGTTAAATGTAGTTTTTGTCATCACGCATGAATTTCCTTATTTGCAGTTCCAGGCGGTCCATCGCTAGTGTACCATTAATTAATGGCTAACTAAATTAAAACTAGACGACGGTGATGTTCATGTGTTTGTATGGGTTGTTCTTACCTGACCCAAAACGGCCTGAGGCACTCTGCTTCTTAGAGCGTCCTCCAGCTCCTTCCCAAGCGGCGCCGCCCCTGACAGCACCAGCCTTATCGAGCTCAGATCGAAGTCCGCCACCATCGGATTCTTTGCCAGCGCCAGCACCAGGGGCGGCACCACCATCGCCACCGACACCTTATGCCGTTGCGTCAGTTCCAGCAACGCCCCTATCTCGAACTTGTGCATCAGCAACACCGCACTTCCCGCCCTCAGAGCGCACAACAACACGCTGTTGAGAGAGAATATGTGAAACAGAGGAAGCACGCAGAGCAACACGTCGTCTGGTTTCAGGTACAGGTTCGGATTCTCGCCGTCGACCTGTTGCGCCACGCTCGTCGTTAAGCTCTTGTGCGTCAGAATCACGCCCTTCGGCAACCCTGTCGTTCCAGAAGAGAACGGTAGAGCCACAGGATCGTCCGGGTCGATCTCCACCTCCGGCACCTCATTCTCGTCGGCCTCCGACACCACCGAGAAATGCATGCACTTCTCTGGCGGATCATCGACGGTGATCACCTTAAGCTGATCCTCTCCGATGTCCACGCCGGCCTGGTGATCTCGGAGCTTGCTAACGTAAGCCGATTGGGTGACAATCAGTTTCGCTTTCGCCGCACGGAACTGCTTGAAGATCTCGTCAGCAGTGTAGAACGGATTCGCCGCAGTGGCCACAGCACCGATCATGGAAGCAGCAAAGAACGACAACGCGAATTCGGCAGAATTCTGGAGTAGTATCATAATCACATCGCCTTTCTTGATCCCGAGTTTGGAGAAGCCAGCGGCAATCTTCCTCGACTGGAGGTGAGTTTCCGCATAGGAGTAAATTTTGCCGGTGGAGCCGACGATAAGGCAGGGACGGTCAGCGAATTGAGAGAGATTCTCGAAGCAGTAAGTGTGAAGAGGAAGATGGTTGGAAATAGGTATGTCTGGTAATTTTGACTTGAAGATATGAGTAGTTTGGGGAGAATCTGCAGAATTCGAATCGTTTGGAGCAGGTTTTGGAGAAGGAGGAGAAGAGAGGCCTGGGTTCTGGTGGGATTCAACAGAAATCATGGCTGGCCGACCAGAAAGAATAGAAAGGGAATGAACGAAGAAGAAGAAATCAAGAAGTAAAATGGAGAAGACGAAGATTGAATTGAAATAAATACGATCGACCTGGGAGGTGAGAAAACTGGGAAGAAATTAAATAAAAGTCAAAATTAAAATATACCCGAGAGTATTGGGAAGGGTGAGAGAGGGTTAGGTGGAGGAATGAGGGATGATAGAGAGCGAACGCAGTTAGATGGTATACGTGCCAAGTCTCACGTTCAAAACCAAGCGTTCAATTCTCTGCTGCATATTCTCCTACTTACCAACCTAACACCTTTTCTGTCTTCTTCTTCCCCCATCACTCCCAGCCAACATTTAATTAAAAACTTAACAAAATTAATATATATATATATATATATATATTACTCTTTATTAGAGAATAATTCACATTACTACTATCATTTAACATAATAGAGCCTAGCTAAGATAACAAAGTCTCATAATATCAATCTCAACCCAAATATAGCCTTTTTACAAATTTTATAAAAATATAATTAGAGGCAAGTAGTCTTTTATATTGGTTACACTTTAAGAAATGAACTATTTTTTTTTCTTCATTTATAAATAGTACTATTTGTTTTAAATTTTACATCTACTCATCATTGTGGTGAAATTTGAGACATCAAAATTTGATTTTAATGATATAATTAAAACTTTTAACTTGTAATTTTCCATATAAAAATTAATATTTTAACAGAGTGATGGTCTTAAGATTATTTTTATTTTCAATTTCGTATATATTAAAACAATAATTTATTAAACATATCAACATAAAATTATATTAAATATAGACCATCAAGCTTTGATCTGGATGGTTGAGATTGGTGCTTGAAACTAATTTCGCTAATAATAACTTTGAAAAGCGCCATAGATTTTTGTAATTATATTATTGCCTCAAGTACATATTTAAAATGAAATTTCCACGATTTTGTAGTTAACTATTAAATTAATATATATATATATATATATTTATAATTTGTGATTAAAATTAAAAATTTTTTAAAACTAAAATATTAAAAATTCCAAAAAAAAAATACAAACACTATTTGAAGAAATTTTGTTAATAATATTTAGGGTCTTGAAAACGCTTTGTTCTTTTAAGGAAATTGTCGGGGTCGCTTGGATACCAACAAAACAAAGAAAAATTATTGTATTATGAGAAGAAAATTAATTATTTTGTTCTTATAGTTTTGACTTAAATAAAATGAAGTCTCTAATGCAACTTAATTCTTACAGTTTTAACTTAATTAAAATTAATTTTTAAATTTTAAATTACTACAACTTAATTTTTATAATTTTAAATGTTTAAAATGTTAGTCCCTACATTTTAAAAAAAATAAAACTATAAGAAATAAATTATTTTTAATTAATAATTAAACAGTGAAAAATATAAATATCAAATAATAAATTTTTCCTATTTTAAATTTATATATTCTTTCGGTTTGGATGTGGCCATGATTTAGACTGAAAAAAAAAAAACATCAAACAATGTATATCTATATATATAATATTAATTATTCTGTGTCCTTTACTTCGGTGTCTTTTGATGGGCTAAGATAAAAATTCCCTCTCTCTTTCAAGTATAATTGGGATAGATCATTCATTAAAAAAAAAACGTTTTTTTTGATGAGTTAGATCTTGAGGGTTTATTCGGGGTCAGGGCATACCTCTTAATTGAATGAATATTTATAAAGACACTTATAAATATACCTCATTAATTAATTTATTTTAGAGAGAAATAAATATGCCTTACTATTTTTCTTATTAATTATCTTATTTTAGACGAGAATTGGCAATTCTTAGGCATTTTTATCACTAACTATTTTATTTTAAAGAAGAATAAATATCCCTAACTATTTTTTGAGCTAATTATCTTATTTTAAAGAAAAATTGACAGTCTCTTGTTATTTTTCTTATTAATTATTTTATTTTAAAGAGTAATAAATATTTCTTATTATTTTTCTTGCTAATTATCTTATTTCAAGGGGAAATTGATAGTCCTTTACTATTTTTCTCATTAATTATTTTATTTTAGAGAGAAATAAATGTCTCTTGCTATTTTCATTACTAGTTATCTTATTTTAGAGGAAAATTGATAATTTCTTGCTATTTTCCTTGCTAATTATTTTATTTTAGAGAGAAATGAATATCCCTCAATATTTTTCTTGCTAATTATTTTATTTTAAAAAATAATTGACTATCCTTCTTTATTTTTTCTTGCTAATTTTAAGTTGAGATATAAATGTAACATTTATTGCTAATTTGACATTTTAAGGAGAAATAAACAATCACTATTTAAATTTACTCGTTGATTTACATTTTCTTAGTAGTGATGACCCATCAACAAAGTTATCGCATTGGCAATGGGATTTGATTTATTTAATTATGATTTATAAGTTAAATCCTTACTAGCTAATTGGACCAACATTTGTTGGTATATTTGCTTAACTTTTGATTGGAACAATGTTATCTTAAGAGTTAAAAAAAATGGTGTTACATTTTTCTTATGATTTAATGTGCAATAATAACCCAAAAATATTGTGTTAATTATTGAAAGTTTGGGATATCAATCTCCTTTAGAAAAACTTACAGAGTGAAATTTCTCTTTAATTCTAATAAGAATTTTTGAATTAACAAACAACGTTGGTCAAATATTATTATAGAATTTCAAAACTTGCAGTGTTATATTGTGTCAATAAAAGTTAAGAACATCAGTTATATCTAATGAAAATCTTCTTGAGAAAAAAAAAATTGTCCCTTTAACCCTTTTTCCAACTACCTTTTTTCGTGTTCTCCTCACAATATAATGAGCTTCAAATTCAATTGGCAAAGAACTCAATAGCTAGATCAGACCACTGAAAAACGTATCTTATAAATACAATTAATTATTGTCCATTCCATTTAACAACTATTTCAAACAGTTGGAAAACTAATGAAATGGATGAATAGCTCTCACCATGTGTGAGACGCACAGTGCCTTCATCACTATAAAGTGGAAACCGTTATAATGAGATGGACACGTCAGCCCTTATACAAAGAATAAACAATAAAGAATAAATCAAAATACAATCAGTGAAAATAGATAACAAATCATATGGGCTTCATATTCTATTTCTGCTTGACACTGGTGGACTTGGGCTGACACTTTAATACTTTATCATTCCCCCCGCAAACTGGCAGCGACTAGAAAAAGCCCAAGTTTGTTATGAAGCAGAACATATCATGTTGAAGGCAATGGTTTAGTTAACAAACCTGCAACTCGATCTTCTGAAGGAACAAACTGAATAGCAATCTTGTTGGATGCAACTAAATCTCAAACAAAATGCAAACCCACTTCAAAATGTTTTGTTCTCGCATGAAATATAGGATTAGAAGCAAGGGCAGCTGCACTAACATTATCACGCCAAATAACAGAGGGTAGATGATGATGAATCCCAAGTTCAGCAAATAGAGAATGAAGCCATAAAATCTCAGAAGATGTATGGGCTAAAGCCTTATATTCGGACTCAGCACTGGACCGAGCTACAACTGATTGCTTCTTAGATGACCATGCAACCAAAGAATCACCATAGTACACTAAATAACCCCCTGTTGAACGTCGATCATCAAGACATGAAGCCCAGTCTACATCAGAATAGGCAACCAAATCAAGACAACTAGACTTCTTGATATGAAGTCCAAGATTAATTGTTCCCTGTAAATATCGAAGTAGATGCTTGACAGCTTTCCACTGTAAAAGCATAGGAGCAGATAAAAACTGACTCAGTTTGCCCACCGCAAAAGCTATGTCTGGACGTGTTTGAGCTAAATATTGCAGAGATCCAACAGCTTTCCGATAAAGAGTAACATCATCAATTAATACACTATCATGTTTGGATAGAGTATGACCAGTCACCATTGACGTCTTACTAGCTGACATAGTGCCCATATGCAGCTGCTCAAATAAATCAAAAATATATTTGCCTTGATTTAAATAAAAACCAGTAGCATCTCTAGTGATTTCTATTCCAAGAAAGTAATGAATCGGTCCTAAATCTTTTAAAGAAAATATGTCATTGAGTTTAAGAATAAACTAATGCATGCTCCTTGAGTGACTTCCAGTAACAAGAATATCATCCACATAAATCAATATTATCAAAATCTGTGCATCATTTTGAAAGAAAAACATGGAAGTATCACTCACTATTTTTGAAGTTCCATGATAATAAGACATTTTTCAGCTGATCAAACCATGCACATGGCGCCTGTTTCAAACCATAAAGAGCTCTCTTCAAACGACAGATATGTGTGGGTTTACTAGAATGCCCAAAACCCTCTGGTTGAGCCATATAAACTGTTTCCTTTAAGTATCCATTCAAAAAGGAATTATTAATATCTAGTTGACAAACATTCTAGTTCTTCAAAGTAGCCAGTGTCAGTATCACACGAATTGTTGAAGGCTTTATAACAGGACTGAAAGTCTCTCCATAATCAATACCAAGAGCTTGAAGATAGCCTTTTGCAACCAAACAAGCTTTATACCTCTCCACAGTGTTATCAGGATTGAATTTGGTTTTTGAAAATCCATTGACAGCCTACAATGTTGAAGGAAGGATGTCATGGAACCAAATCCCATGTGTCATTATGTAATAAAGCAAGATATTCAGTTTCCATAGCTTTCTTCCAATGATCAAGTTTTAAAGATTGATGTACAATATGTGGTTCAACATGAAGACAGAAGGCATCTTTCTAAAGATATCCAATAAAAGGTGTCCTTGGTTTAAAAATCCTACTCTTAGATCGAGTAATCATGGGATGATTATTATGAGCAGCAATAATAGGAGAACCCTGTGCTAGAGAACCTGATGATTCATTTGAAGAGAGAGCAGCTGAGTGACTGAAATTCTGAGACTCTAATGGGTTGGATGATGATGAATTAATTTCGGTTTGATCAGTATTGGGCATGGAGTCCGTTATTTGTAGATCTTGTAAATCACATGAAGAAGTATTGTAGAGTGAATCAGACGGCATTGTTTCATTAAGTGATGAGGTATCTTCAACCTGTAAGGTATCATCTCGTGTTTCAGAAGTCTGCATGGAAGCACCACAAACAGAGTCACGACATAGTGATGGAAGCCATGACTGAGAGGCATTCTCAAAAGCATGAGATGATGAAGAAGAATTTTTTGCAAAAGGAAAATCATTTCATTAAACACCACATGCCAAGATATAAACATACGGCCTTTGCTGCTTAAGCATTTATAACCTTTATGTGAAGGGCTTGGACCCAAATAGGTGCATTTCTCAGTTCAAAACTGAAGTTTATGTGTATTATAAGGGCGTAAACATGGAAAGCATGCACAAACACCTTAAACCCTCCATAATTTGGCTTGGACCCAAAAAGAACTTCAAAAGGAGATTAATAACATAGATTGCATTCATAAAAGCCTCCAACCAAAAATGCAATGGCATTGAAGCTTGTGCAAGCATACTTAGACCTGACTCAACTATATGCCGGTGTTTCCTCTCAACCCAGCCATTTTGCTCAGACGTGTGTGGACAGGAGTGCTGAAACTTAATACCAGAATCTGACAAAACATAGTAAATGATCGGAATTCACTGCCCCAATCATTTTGGACTATTTTTATAGTTCGTTGAAATTGATTCTCAACTAGCTTTTTAAATTGTATAAAAGCTGATAGAGCCTCTCCTTTTGTGCGAAGAGGATAAAGCCAGGTGAATTTGTTGTGGTCATCTACGAATGAAATATAATATTTAAAACCTGTTTTGCATTGTATAGGTGCAGGTCCCCATACATCTGTATGAATCAAATCCAATGGGCCTTTAACACATGAAACTGACTGTGGAAATGGTAGTTTATGCAGTTTGCCCAATTGAAAAGCATCACAAAATGCAAAATCATCTTTCCTGTTAATATGAACATTACATTCCTTCAAAATTTGTTTAACAGTATTAAAAGATGCATGACCTAGACGTCTGTGCCAGGTCTCTAAAGCATCGAACAAAGCTACACATTTATTTTTCATACTATCATCAAGTAAGTGATATATCTGGGGTGCTCCATCTACCTTGTACAACCCATCATTCTGTGTAGCACGGATACTTCAAAAAAGTAAACGTACTTGTATCTGATACGTATCTGATACAATACTTGTAGGATACTTCTGTATATGTATCCCATATTCTAACATTTGTGAGATGATTTTTTTCAATAATTTTTTACTATACCACTTAAAAACTTGAAAAAACACTTAATATTTTAGTTAATTATTATAAATATTCTCATATTACTTTAGAAATTCTTGTTTAAAAATCAAAATACCTATACTTATATCATAAAATGTTGAAATATATATTATAAATATCCCCGTACCTGTATCCTAAAATTTTGAAAATTTCCTATATTCTCGTATCATCCTGTATCGTATCGGATACTTGTACCCGTATCTATGCAACCTAGCCCATCACATATGTATCCTTTAACCAGCACCTTGCTGGTTTTCAGATCCTTGAGAACACAAGTGTCAGAATAGAATTGAATCAGTATTTCATTATCAATAACCAACTCAGAAACATTAAGAAGATTTTTCTTAATTCCAAGGACTACCAGAACATCTTTCAAGATCAGGGGTTTACTGTTATTACAAGGTATATATCCAAAACTGTGACTAGAAATTTTGAGACCCTCACCATTGCCAACTATAAGATTACCTGAGCTATTTGACTGACTAGAAACTGATGGGGGCAACTGATTAGTCACATGATTAGAAGCACCACTGTCTAAATACCATGCAGGGTCCTGAACAGTCTCAGCTGAAGCATAATATGCATTAGCAAAGGTATTACCGAAATCATTTTGAGGAGGCATGAATGATTTATCAAAATGATGAAAATAGTTCATAATGGTATGTCCTGGACAACGACATAAATGACAAGAAATTTTGTTACTAGATTGATTATTTTTATATCGGCCTCTGTTACCTCTTCCTCTGCCACGCCATTGTGATCGACCCCCATTCGAACCCTGTAAAGAACTTGAAGAAAGATCAGACCGAAAAGATAGACCAGCAAAGGGTTCACTAACTGAATGAACACTATTCAGGTGCTCAAGATGACGTTCATAAGTAAGAATTTTGGATTGAAGAGCAATCCAAGTCAAGTTTTCTTGGTTAGCTAAATGAACAACCATAGGTATATAATCATGGTCAAGTCTAGCTAAGGTTTGCATAATCAAATCAGGTACTGGAATAGGGGCTCCTACAAGAGCTAAATTATCTGAGATCATCTTCATTTTATTGAGGTATTCTTCCATTCACATAGTTCCTTTCCTAGTTTGTTCAAACTCGATTTTCAACAATGTTAAACGCGATCATGTATTAACACAAGCAAGATTAGTAACAGCATGCCAAATCTAAGCTGTAGTCTTGAAATGAAGAACTTGTGAAGAAATATTGGATATCATTGACCTAACAAGCCAACTATAAACGAGTTGGTCGGTGGCGTACCAATCATCAAAGAGAGGATTTCATACCCATAATAAATCCTTCCAGACGATGTGCTCGAAGCACTGACTGAACAAAATTATGCCATAAAAGATAGTTGGATCGATCCAGCTTGATTGAGACTATTCAGAAGAGGTTGTTTTTGTTTGAACAGCAATAGGACCTCTAATAGACGGAATCATAGAAGAAGATGTAGGGATGACAGTGGAAGATGAAAACATAGGTGCACTCACAGAAGATGAAGGACTAGGAATGATGGGGGAGAAAAGAGGCGAGGACGCCGAAGTACAAAGGATTGGAAAGGTCGCCATTGTCGTCTTTGCTCTGATACCAAGTTGGAAAACTAATGAAATGGATGAATAGCTCTCACAATGTGTGAGACGCACAGTGCCTTCATCATTATAAAGTGCAAACCATTACAACGAGATGGACACGTCAGCCCTTATACAAAGAATAAACAATAAAGAATAAATCAAAATACAATCAATAAAAATAGATAACAATCATATGGGCTTCGTATTCTGTTTCTGCCTGACATTGGTGGACTTGGGTTGGCACTTTAATACTTCATCACAAACAATTATTAATTTATCTTGACACTTTAATTTGAAAGAAAATCATGTACAGACGTAAAATTATGAATATAATTCACATGATGTTAAGATACAATATTGTTTTTACTACATAAATCAAGATATGTAATATTTATTCTACCATTATTATTACCTACTAATAATTGCTGTTCCGGCCGGCTTCTTATATCTCATTTTCATTTCGGAACATAAAAATATTTTAAATCTAAACTATTACTATTCTCATTTGACACTATTTTGTGTATCAAAGGAGCCTTTGAAAGAGTGTGGTCTTACAGAATCGTTAGGTTGACTTTGAATTTTAGAGACTCACGCTCAAGTTCTTGGAAGCATTATTGGCATTTAATTTTATTCCACGAACGACGGCTAGCCTTCTAATTATGGATTTCGATATGAAGATTTCTATATATGTAAAATAATCTTGTATTTAATATAAATACCCAATTTGTAACCATATATAATTTAAGGCACATGTGAGGTTAAATATTAGCGTTTTTAGGAGGAATGACACATGTCTAAATAGATAATTATTATATATATATATATATATATATATTTGTTAAGGAAGGAGAAATCCTAAATTAGGATACACTGGTACATAGTGGTGATTGACCAACTGCTATTGCATCATTCTCTAAGAGACGTTGTAGCCCATCAGGAGCTCGATGTAGGTGATGCTTTCCAATGTCGAGGGACGGTGCAAAAGATGCCAAAAAAATCAGCACACTTATTCCCTTCATGATAAACGTGATCAACTTCAACCTGCCAGCTCTAGACGTAGGAGAGCATAAATCTGTCTCGGTATTCTGCTGTAACCATTAATTCGTGCATTATCCATAGAAATTAGCTGTACAGCAAGCAGCAATCAGCAGCTTGATCTTTCTGAAGCCACTCTCCCAAGCCAGCGTTAACCCATCTAGAATAGCCCAGAGCTCAGCCTGCAATGCTGTGCAAGCACCAATATTCCTACAACAGCCCTGAATCCAATCCCCTTCCGAGTTACGGAGAATATAGCCCGCACCTGCATTTTCACTCACATGTTTAACAACACCATCACAGTTCAAGGAAGTCCAGGAGAAGGGAGGTTTTTTCCATGTAACAGTGGTATCAATTCTCGTAGTGACACCGGTATGAGTTTTCCGGAGAGCCTCTTTGGCCTCGATATTAAAATCAACCAACATACGGATTTCCATAACCAATTGTTCGCTGCTCGTATGATTTCCTTGAAAGATAAATTTATTTCTTGTTTCCCAGAGTTTCCAGCAAGTGAGTCCAAAGAGAGAAGCCCAGGTGCTACTCACAGAGTTACTATCAATATGCCCACAAAGATTATTGAGCATCCACTTTTCAAAGGGTTCGTTGTAGAAACGACGCAATCTATATGAAGATATGAGCCTTCTCCATACCTCCCGAGCCAGAATACAGTGGCGTAGAACGTGGTCAATGGTCTCACAGTTCTCCTCAAATCTTCCGCATACATCAATGGCAGTCACATGACGTCGAAATCTTTCAGCATTTGTAAAAGGGCGCCACGTAGAGCAAGCCATAGGGTGACCCATACACGTTGTGCGCTTTCATGTTTCCAAATCATGTCCCATTTACTATCCTAGTCATCCCAGTTGTCGTCCAAAAATTACCTCATAGACTGACCGCATCGAGAAGGCTCCGTTCGAACTTTGATCCCAGAAGCATTGTGCATTGCCATCATTAGCATTGGGTGTCTTCGTGCCTGCAATGAGAGAGAGAACTTGATTCGGGAGATCCCCCACAAGAAGATTCCAGTCCTAATATCCGTTAAGACCCATAAAAGCGAGCTCTTCCTCAGAGATGTCGCGAGAAGCTAGAAATTTTAGAGGGCCCACATTAGCAAGCGAATTATCCTTCCAAAAGCGAACCTTTATTCTAATACACCAAATTTTTTTTTAAATAATTTAATTTAATTATAGTTGGGTTATAGCCACCCAACATATTTTATATCAATAATTTTAATATAAAAATATTTTATAATTAGCTTCAACTTACACATTACAATATTTCAGCTAAATTTTTACTTCCCACATACCATTAGACTAAATTACATTTGTCCATCCTTATACTCCCAACAAGTAAACTAAATCACATTTGTCCATCCTTATACTCCCAACAAGTAAAATAAATAATTTAGTCAATTTTCAAAATAAGCCAGTTATTTGGCCTCATAATCATACCATTTTAACCAATCCAAAGTAAACTAAATATTAAAATTACAGTCATCCAAAGTGTACCAAAAATAGAAATAGTTTGAAAGGCATGATTACATTTATATATTCATATAATTGTCAATAAACAAAAAGCCTTAATATTGACAATATAAAATATTATAAATCATAAATCAAATACCCAAAAGAGACAGTGAATCTATGCCACTAAGCCTCTGGGACTCCTCCACGTGTCACTCGTGGCTCTTCTCCTGAAAATTGTTAACCACATAATGAGACTCAAAAGTCCCAGTAACCAAAGCCAATTTATAATAGTGTATACAAACAGTTAAGTGTGTGCTTATTAAGTGAGAATTAAAAATAATATAATTCCAACAAATATAAGAAATATTTCAATACACACAAATAACCATCATTATATCATTTCATTAATCTCGAGCCGTAGCCCTCACTCGGTGCTAAATTACCCGGCCAAAGGTAGATTAGCCCGAGCCTTTATAAGCCACCTATTGAGCTTCAATAGGGGCGTACCACGTGGCACATAAATACAACAAAAATAGCAAGCCTCCCAACACCTCCCACAATAATCAAACAAATTCATAATAATATTGCACAATTATATAATATTACAAAATTTATAATTTTCTCAATAATCACCCAATTAACATGAAGTAACATTAATCACAAATTAAAAGCATGGTTACCTCGTGGTTTTTTCAATAAATTATTCCTTACAAATTTCTCTCCCACCACAATCTTCACCAACAACACAATCTACAAATAACATATTATTTATAAATATTAGTTTCAATTATTGAAACTAATAAAATAATTATAGTAATAGAATTAAAAATATAACATAATTTCTAATCTCAATCTTAATACAAATCTAGAGTTAATACTATTAAGTAAAATTTTTAACTCCTCTTTTAATTATCAATAAACATTAATAATCTAAAAATCAACTTCTAAACTAATTTCTATTATCAAAATTTTCTTTTTATTTTATAAATTCATACCTAAAATACCAATAAATTAAAAATTGAGTCTCTAGCTTAGAATCATAATCCTATAGCCATAATAATTCATTTCTCATCCCAACTAATCATCTAAACCTCAATAAATCAACGTATATTTTCAGATTTAATAAAAATCTAGTCTAGAATTTGATCCATAAGTCACAAATTCAAAGATCATCAATAAATTTATACTCTAGAACATTTATTATACTATTAACAACCTCAAAAATCATATTTATTCAATTTAAATTCATCCCTCTTTCAGATCTTAAATTTTCTACCACCACAAACTCAGAAACTAAAGAGGAAGGATGGCTAAGAATTTACTTAGTTTTGAAAAGCTTGAAATCACACCCTAAATATCCTATTAAAAACTCTTACCTCAAAACCCAGCACCAGCGAACTTGCGAACCGTCGCCCCCTCTGTTCGCACACGAAGAGAAATGAAAAAAAAAAGAAGGAGAAATGAAGAAACGAAGGAGGTGGGTTTTTTTTAAAAAAAATACTGTGGGTCCCATATTTTTTTATTATTTTCCTCTTTCCTCTCTCTTCTTTCTTTTTTTTATTATTATTATTATATAAACATAATCATTGCATTGGGAGAGCGCCGAAAGTTCACTTCTTCTTCCCTTTTTTTTTATTCATACCTTTTCTCTTTTTTTGTAATAATAATAATAATTTAATAATATATTTATTAATTAATTAATTATTTTAATTATTTTTTTAAATTTTTTAAAAATTTTAAATTTAGAATTATATCCTAAGTTAGATTTAATAATCATTTTCTACTAATTTTCTTACCTCTAAATATTTTTCAAAATTTTTATTAATCCAAATTAACTATTAAAATTTAAATTGGGATGTTACATTCATACCGTCACCAATCGGGAATCTAGAACAAATATCCACATCAGCCTAAATTTTCTTAATATTTCTCTAGAGAAGGGAACCTGACTGGTTGTTACAATTTGGTCCATTCAAATCATCCCACCCATACTTCTTCCAAGGACATGCACCCAAAGGAGGTTAGGTTCAGTAGCTAGTTTGAAGCCAATCTTCATTAAGAAAGCTCTATTCTATGGTTCAAGTTTTTTGAAGCCACTCCCACCACAGCTCTTGGGTTGACAAAAATCATTCCAATTTATCAAGTTAGACTTTCTTCCATCCTCAGTAGATCCTCATGTAAAAGCTTCTTAATACAGTCACAAAAGCCTCTTGGGTAACTTAGTGGTTTGCATAGCATAGAAAGAGAGGGCTTGTAGAATTGAATTAGCAAGAGTCAAACATCCACCAAGGGATAAAGTTCCATCTCAAGAGTCACTGCTTAACTTTTTCCTTAATATAACTATAAGTATCAAAATGGACTTTGTTATGTAAAAGATTAACCCCCAGATATTTCCCTAGATCATCTTTCTTACAAAAGCCCAGTTCAGTACTACACCAATCAATATGCTTAGTAGTCACATTACAAGAGAAATAAATTTGGGTTTTATTACTACTAACCTTATGGCTTGAGCTGACATAAAAGTCATACAAAATCTTCTTAAT